ACATATTTCGACAGATTTTTAGTTTTTCTTGCCCAATTGCCCAAGTTATTTAAGAACCTCGTATATGGTATCGTAGCGTAGACACGCAGCGGCTTCATAGATCCGTTGAAAAATATACGAAGTTCAGCGTGCAACAGTCGGCTTCGAATGGGTACATCATCTAAGTCAAATCGTACACTTGTACCGTGATCGGCTTCCGTTTTCTGCTCTGAAACAGTTCATACTGAAACTTTGGTAATGGGGGAAACCGAGGGGGCAAAGCTATGCGGCTGTGGATACCTCGAGGTAGAAAAGAAACAATCGTATCTGCCTCTCCCAGCTCGATGGCCTCCTTCTCGTCAGCCGATAATAATTGACCGCTAGCAAGATATCTGCAAAACGATGTTTAAATTTATTTCAGCAGCAGAAAAAAAGAAGCCATAGCGGAAAACAGTAAAACGTTGTGTTCAGTAATAAGGAAAATTAAGAAATTATTGCCAAATCTGCTTGCATTCTCATAATTACTGTCCGGTTACGAAGGTTATTATTTTTTGATACACAAATCTCACCAATTTGATGTCAACCTCAGGATCGGAGCAGGCACAGCTGCACCCAGGGTAAGGTAGCATCCAAGGAACAACACCAACATCCGATCGTCACATCGACACCGCCCAGACAATTTTGATAAGCGTTCTGCGCATTAATTAATTTTTCCTATTTTTTACGATTCATCACGGAAAGTTACTTATAAGAGGGACTGAGCTCCATATCATGCTCCATATTCCGATATAAATCAGCCATGAAACGCGAAGCAATGTCGTCCTTTATGCCACTCACCAACGGTCGCGGGTGCTCGATCCCTAGCAGCTCCAGAATCTTCGACTCCAATTTCGCACTTCCATGCCTGAAAGAATAACTGGTTTGAAACCAATGTGTAGTCATCTTCCGCCGATGACGCAGCTGATAACCTTTCCTTTCTTCCTTACGTTTTTCAGCTCCTTACATCAGCTCAACATCATGAATTTTTATTGTACTTTGTTTGTGCCTCATAAAAAAACCCCAGCTTTTCCGCCTATTCTTTGTTTTTGCCATCTTGCTTCTTTCGATTGATTGTCCTCCTCTCCTCTTTGTTTCTTTTCTCTTTTTACTCAATTTCATACGATTCCCTAAAAAAGTTACGTGTTTTGCCCATTGCATTTTTTTTTATAATAATACAGTTATTGTACTGAAGAGGTCCAGTTGTGGTACTGAAAAGGAATATATACGAGTCAACGGACTGAAATATTTGCTTTCAGCTACCAATTTTTTTAGTTTACACTGATGTTTTACTTCATTCTGCCTACTTTTCTACGCTGTTCGTAAATTATTATAGGACGGCATAATAAATTTA